GTAATCTTGAAAAGTTTCAGGCAGCATATTTCAACAAAAATATTCGTTTTAACCACTATCGAATGCAATTTAACGATATTTTTGTGTGACATCTATACGTAAAGACAGAATAAAACACTATTTTCTTCCAAAAAAATTATAAAACTGCTTTAAAATGAATTCTGAAGAGAATTTCGTGACGTCTGTATGAACGTATGTATGTACGTACGTATCTCGCATAACTCAGAAATGAGTAGCCTCAGGATGTTGAAATTTTGTATGTAGGACTGCTATAACATGTAGATTTGCACCTAGTATTTTGATTGCAATTGGCCCCACCAAATGTATATAAATATATATATTCACTTTGTTACCTGGCTCAGTGATCTCAGTTTCTTTACTCTTATATGTTTGTAAATTGTACATTTTTTGCTTTAAAAATGATTTAATTATGTTGTTCTTATCTTCTGGTTAAGGTTTTTATACCTTTAGTAAATCTGTATGCAATATTTTTAGAATTATCAGCAATTTTAAAGTTGTTTAAGTGCCGTTAAGCCTAATAATTTTTTTGATGGCGGCCATTGCTTGTTTACATTTGAAACAGCAGGATAGTGGATTTGTTGCTAATCTAGAGAAACTTAGCTTCGCAACAACAAAGATAACGCCTTCATTTATTATTGCGAATTAAATCACGCTTGATCCTTTCTGGAATTTTTTCCAGGAAATAAGTGTTTAAGATTTACTTCGTAATTTTTAATATAGATATTTTGAGTTTTTATGTATTTTTGCCTTGTCGCAAAGTGAGAACTGAATTAATTGAATGAGAAATACTAAATCGTCTGTGAAAAACTGTTTCTTTTTTGTTTTATGTGCTTAATTTCTTTTATGCATCATTCTAGATATATTAGAGTATTTGAATAGAACATGTGGCAACGATTAGATAATTCTTCAAATGAAATAAATTTTGTGCATTCTGAGTTATAACGCTTTTAAGTAAACCCAGCGCCAGAGTGTCGCTATGGTAAACAAATATAGTGAATTTTAAAGAGGGCATTTATTCTGTTGTGGTTTATGCGGTATCGACAAAGTAGATTTAATTCAATCCAATAAGTTTAAATGAAATGAAGGAAAAAAAAAAAAAAAAAAAAAAAAAAAAAAACGTATAATTTAATATTCCATACAAGGAAGTCATGGGGTGTACACATCAGATTTTTTAATTCTCCATTCCCATGCAATACATATTGAGTTTCATGAATTCACTTATTTAATTTATTAGAGATTCGGTGCTTATTCATCATTAACAATCGAAGAAAGTAAGACCAGTAGGTTCATATACAATATTTAATAGCTTGTCGTACACATTAATTGAAATTAATTCATAATTTTCCTAAAATGTCATTTGTCTTTATATGACTTATATTACTCAGATCAATAAAAATCAAAAGCATGTAAATAAACTAACAATAAGTGTAATAGTTTTTGATCTAGAGGGAAAAAATAGCAAACCAAGCAGTAGGAGTACCTGTTTTATTTTTACTCTCTGCTATATTAGTAACTTCTGAATCCTTTCTATATGTTATTCAGTTACTGGGTTACAAACATAATCCTCTCCATGGTAAGATGCTTTAATGAATAAATGATAGTGGAAGTGAGGAAAGCTAATATCACTATTTAAATAATTTTCATTTAATTTTTTACTCTGACTGTTAACCTTTGCATCAGATTTGGTTATGCATTACTTTTTTAATCATTTTTGTATTTAATTCCAATTCTCTGTGCATATCACTTTACAATTGCATATTTCTATTTTTTTAAATGTTATTAAAAAACAAATGTTTGCAATCCACTTGTTATATTAGTCTATAGTTTCTGTAATTTGCTTCTGTATCAAAGAAATAATTAAATGAAATTAATGAACACATCCTAGCTATCTCTTTCAAGACATTGATTTCATTCGTATGTTTTCTTGTTTTGGAGCACAAGCATCAAATCTTAATTCTCCAGCATTACTATCATTATCATTTTGCAGTTATTATAGTTATCTTTTTTTCCTCAGAATTGCCATACATTATTTGCAAGGCAATGATGCAACATTGGGTTAGTTTTGAAAACCCCTTCTTTAAAAAAAAAGAAAAAAAAAATCATTATGAATTTGTTTATATGTTCTATTTAAATTAAGAGAAAGGGCACAATAGTCATCTGATTATAATTGCATAGTGTTTTTTACTGTTACAGCATTATATTGTATTATTATTACAGTGTAAAATCAGTTATGCAATTAATATTAAACTTTTACACTGATAGCCAAAATATTAAGACCATCTCCATATTTTTCAATGGACTCCTCAGGATGATGTGGAGGGTGTATGATTAAGTTGTTGTTGTCTTGTCCATATTACATGGAACAACAGTTGCCAGAATCTACTCCAAAGAGAGGTTGGACTTCTGTTTTACACCCCCAATTTTGAGGGATAGCACTCTGGAGGTTTCCCACCTCTCTCCCCTTCCACCAATCCACACAAGAGAACTTTCGACGTACCACATATTTAGAGTGCCACCATGTTGCACCGACACTATACATTTATAAACATCCATGTTTTCTCCGGGATTCGAACTCGACCCTTCGGTACCGTAGTAGGCTTCCCTAAACACTATACCATCTGGGCGACATGATTAAGTGAGAATACTATTTAACTGCTGGTGGAGAAGTTAAGAAATCATTCTTGCACTTACTTTTGCGAGTGATGGGATAGGTTGCTGATCTAAGTGAATTTTAAAGAGGGCAGATTATGATGGTCCGAAGTCTCGGATGAGTATCTCCAAAACTGCATGACGTGTAAGTTGTTCACAATCTGCCATTGTTAGTTTATGCAAAGTGGATAGATGATGGTAAAACCAGTAATTAACACCTAGGTATTGGACATCCATGCATCATCAAAGAAAAAGTATGTGCAGAGACTCTTCTGCATATTAACAGCAAAATCGGCACCAGATAGTGGCTCAGCTGACAGCCCAATACAATGCAAGTCTAAGTGCAAGTGTTTCAGAACACACAGTTCAGCAGACACTGTTGGATGTGGAGACTGCATAGCAGAAATTGACTCATGTGCCTCTGCTGACAAGCATCATTTTCAAGTACGCATATCCGGGAACATCGAGACTGGACTATGGATAAGTGGAAGACAGCTGCCTGGTCAGATGAATCATGATTTCTCATTTATCAATGGTCATGTCAGTGTATGCTGTCTTCCAGGTGAACAGATGCTCCACCCCCGCTTATACAGTAGGTCATACACAGGCTGGTGGTGACAGTATTTTATGCTTTGGAGGATGTTCCCATGGCAGCTGTGAAACCTTTAGTTGTGGTAGAATAGATTATGAAAGCTGCAGACTATCTGAACATAACTGCGGATCAGTTGCACCCTTACATGACATCTGTCTTCCCAATTGGATATAGAATCTTCCAGCAGAACTGTACCCCATGTCACAAGCCTTGAATTGTGTTGGAGGGGTTTGTGTAGCATAACGATGAATTCTAATTAATGTCCTGGCCACCTAACTTTCCTGATCTTAACCCGATAAAGCACATTTGTGATAGAGTGGTAGCTCAGAGCTCAAACACCACCATGTTGGAATATCTCGATTTTGCATGATCACTACTTAGACATTTGGTACAACCTGTCTTCAGCCATCTACTAAGAACTTATGACATCCATGTCAAGGCAAGTTGCAGCTGTTTTGCCAGCCAAAAGTTGCACAACGTGTTATTGGGTAGGTGGTCATAATGTTTTGATAGTTCAGTACAGTCAAAAGTCGTTAATTCGGACACCCATAATTTGGAATGATCTATAATCCGGACCTCAAAGCTACAAACTTTCTGCGCATGCGTCATGTTTACGCGTGCGTGTAAAACCTTTACGACTGCGAATTTGCGTGTGCGCATGCGCGTTTAATGTATGACGGTCGGTATAAGCTAAGCTAAAATTATCTAATTCAGTTAATGTTGCAGATTGCATTGTTCCTTAATCTTCGAATTGGATTCGGCTTATTATTTTTTGCAGACTGTTAGAGCAATTTTATAAAAGTAAGCTTGAACTTTCGATTATGTCAAATAGAATTTCTGATATATATTACTAATATGTAAAGGATCTACAAAGCGAAAGTATGTTTCGAAGTCCATTAAACAAAAAGTGGAATTGCTGCAAAAAATGGATAAAGGCATATCCTTTATTAACTAAACTTTAACGTTTGTTTATCTAAACTTTGTTTATCTTTAACGCCGCAGCGCGCAATGAATTTGGAAGTTGATTTGTCAGCACTATCCTTATCTTCAGAGCAGATGTTTTTATTTTATTTGGCTTATTACTCCGTCTTTGATATGATTTAAATCAAATTCCTCGTCATTATAATTTGCTTCCGATAGCGAAGAAAGTGACAGAGGTTATTGAAAACGAAAAAATTTCGATTGACAAATTAGTTGGTATTCTCGACGCAGCAATTATAGGACTTGAACAGCGGAACTTTGTAACTGAAGAAATTATGTCTGTTTATAGAATTAAAGCGAATGTATTATCACATAAAAAACGAAGCAACTTAAACAACTTACATTGAAAGAAATGTTGAATAAAGTAAACAAATAAATATTATTTATTTATTTATTTTTTTTTTTGTAAATTTTGATACCCTTTAGATCATAATTGTTCTTTATTTCATAAATTACGGTTTCATATTTTTAATTTTATAATTTCTGCATGCCATCTTACCAGATTTAAACTGATGATCTATAATCCGGAAAAATCGATAATCCGGAATTGCCGAAGTCCCGACGAGTTCGGATTAACGACTTTTGACTGTATATCTTATTACAATATATGTGCTATTCATTAGTGATCCAAATTATGAACTGATCTAATTTAGGAATATTTTCATGAATGTATTTCATTTGTAACCCCTGAACTTCCTATGTATATATTTCCTGCTTTAAATTTTGATCTAAAAAAATATTTATTTTATTTTTCAAGCTGTCCATTAATCGGAGAACCTCTCCATATGGCACATTTCCGTTCTGCCATTTACAGCAATTTTATTTCAAATATCAACAAATTTGCTGGCCATGAAGTCGTGAAGGTCACTCATTTTGGAGACTGGGGATTGGCATCTGGTAACTTCAGTTAAATTATTATGGATTAATTGATTTGAATTTTTTTAATTGTTAAAAATTATATACATATTTTACTGACACAATACCAACTAATAACATTTCATCCCATGGTAAAAATCTGGCTCAGAAGACTTAGTGTAGAGACATATTGGATAGATTTCTAGATGTGATTGTTCATTAAAATATATTCTAACATTTAGAGGAGTGCTGAAAGTAATAGATTTAGCTCACCTTCAATCTCCATTATCTTGATTTATAGCATTTAGTATTATGATTAATGTTTATGCATTATTTCAGAATTAAAATGAGGAGTGCATATCAGTCTTAATTGATAACAGAAGAAATAATACTTTCTTGCTTTTAATGTTAGTGTTTTGTATGTATATATATATATCAGCAGAGCAGAGTGTTGCCAAATTCAACCAACAAATTCAGAGAAGCGATAGTAGCCATCAAGGGGATAAAAAAATGCTATAGAACGTGTTGGCACAGACCACATTTAGTGGGAGAAAATTCCAGAAATAGGTATGATGGGTGTGACATTGAATGGATAAAAAAGAGCCTGTAATAAATAGAAAAACATTCATTTGATGAAAAGTAGGATTACAGTGCATCACAGTTCAGCATCAGAAAGGAAACGAGACATTTTTATAGAAACTGCTAGAAGTTGCAGCCACAAAGATCATTACACAGTCGACACCAACAGATGAAGGATTGCATTCAAACATACCTGGTGTGCTAGTGATAGCTGCTGAAGTGACGGCTATTTGTGCTATGAGATCCTTCAGTGTATCCATAGCCATCTGATAAAAAACTGATTTCAGGTCAGAAGAAGAAATTCAAGGGAATGAGGCCCAGGGAGTGTGCAAGCTAAGCAACTGATTCACCATAGCCAATCCACCTCCCAGGATATGTAGCATCAAGGTAGTTATGTACCACAGTTTCAAAATGTGCTGGTGCACTATCATACATGAACCATTTGTTTTGGCATACAGTGGCCAATATTCCCTGCATTAAGTACATCTTCAAGAATTACTACCCAGATGTTAATACTGAACTTGTGTTGTATTTTCAACAAGATAGTGCTGTGGGGATTTTTGGATGACTTTGTACGTGCATTGTGCATGTTGACCACGCCTTCTCTTGTAAAGCAGGCTTCATCTAAGAATAAAAAGTGGCAGGAAACTGGAATCATACTGTGTGGCACTAATTATCTAGCATACAAACTCTACAGAAAGGGGGTAATCGACTTTCCCTAAGGAGTGGATATTTTGCATGGGGAAGGGGTGCATGTTTTCCTTGCTGTTCCTCTTTATTTGGAAGGATTCTTTTTCCTGCAGCTATCGATCAGTGTTAATGTGGGTCATATGGTGTGGAAGCTAAGCAACAGGTCACCGTGTCCAGTCCAGTTCTTGAGATATGTAGCATGTTCCTCTTCGGCTATTGCTGTTGGTACATCCTCTGGGCTTGGTGTTAATTGCCACTTGCTTGGCCATAAATCAGATGCATATCCACATATTCCTCGTGCATGTAATCTAACATGTTGTTTCCAAATGAAGATTAATTGAGTGAAGTGAATTTTGCAATGAACACTTGCATGCTGCTTTTGTTTTTCCTTTATGTACTGGAAATTAGCATACAAAAAGGTTTCTTCTCAACCGCAGTGCTCCTAAAAATCATTACATTTGTTTGGCTACTCTCTTTGTCAGGCTCACTGTCCTCTCAATGTCTATCTTTATGATTTTCACCGACTAAACATGGTTTGCGATCCCATATTGTATTGTAATTTTTCATCTTGATGCCTACTGTCACTCCTCTGAATTTGTTGGTCAAATTCGGCAACAGTTTGTATGTATAAGCTTTGCATCAGTATTCCATCCCATCAATCAGATAAACCAGCTTGATAGATGCAGTAACTGCCATTCCTATACAAGGTAGTTGCAGCTTTTAAAAGTATTTGGGGGTAAACTGATGGGCAAAAATGCTTATCTAAGGGTTCTTTGAGATCCAAGGGCATCTGAAAGACATTTCAGTAGGACTGAAATCAGTACAAACACTGGTCACTGCATGCAATCTATATCTTTACTCATAATGTTGTCTATCGTCTACTTTGTGTTAATGAGTTTTATTACCACAGTACATCATATCAACACATTTACTTGGTATGATCCAGCCTGCCATACTTTATACTCCAGACTTTTTTTGGGGTCTGTTATACGAGGGCCATCCAGGAAGTAGATTACGTTTCCGTCTGTGTCCGCTAGGGGCGGGGCTAGCACGGCCATCTTGGGGTCAGAGCGTTGCGCAGCTCAGTCTGCATCTAGCCGTGCTAGTGAGAGGTTCGTGCTGTGCTCCGTTCAGATACTGTGACGGTTTGAAATGTCTGCGTTAATTGAAAATCCCGCGAGCTGCGATGCGCTCAGTAATAAGGTTTCTGACTGCAAAAAACTGTAAACCGATAGAAATCTATCGGCAGCTTCGTGAAGTGTATGGGGACAACATTATCACTGAAGGTGGAGTGCGTCAGTGGGTCATAAGATTTCAAAATGGCCGAACCAATGTTCACGACGAAGATCGAAGTGGGAGACCCAGCATAGTGACCGCCGAACTTCTCGAAAAAGTCGATGCTAAAGTCCGTGAAAATCGAAATTTCACAATAACGGAACTTTCTTTGAGTTTTCCACAAATTTCGCGAAGTTTGTTGCACGAAATCATCAGCGAAAAGCTTGGTTACCACAAGTTTTGTGCAAGATGGATTCCAAAAATCTTGACAGAGGACCACAAAAATCAGCGAATGGCTGCAGCATTGAACTTTTTGGACGCTTACCATAAGGATGGTGACTCTTTACTCGATCGCATCGTTACTGGTGACGAAACATGGGTGAAACATGTGAACTGTAAAACGAAATTGCAATCAATGCAGTGGGGGCACACAAGTTCTCCCCAAAAACCCAAGAAATGCATGCAAACAATGTCGGCAAGGAAGATGATGGCGACTGTTTTTTTTTTTTTTCGGGACAGAAAAGGTGTAATTTTGGTGGACTTCCTGGAAAGAGGCACTACAATAAACTCTCAAAGGTATTGCCAAACTCTCCAAAAACTCAGAAGAGCAATTCAAAACAAGCGCAGAGGAATTTTGAGCTCTAAGATCTTGTTGATTCACGACAACGCCCGGCCCCACACGGCAAATGTCACTCGTAAAGTTCTTGAATCTTTTAAGTGGGAGTTGTTTCCTCATCCGCCGTACAGTCCCGACCTGGCACCGAGCGACTTCCACCTATTCCCAGCAAATGAAGAAGTGGCTGGCTATGCAGCGTTTTGATGACGACGCACAGCTGCAAGAAGAGGTACGAAGTGGTTGAAGGCGCAGGCGGCCGAATTTTTCGACGAAGGAATTTCCAAGCTCGTACATCGCTACGATAAATGCCTTAATTTGTATGGTGACTATGTAGAAAAGTAGTATTTGAGTGTGGCTTTCATCTGTATATAATAAAATTTGTTTCCTATACTTTGTTTATTTTTTTATTCCAAAACGTAATCTACTTTCTGGATAGCCCTCGTACTTTTTAAAAAATAATATACTTATGCTGTTAAACTAATTTTCAATTAACTTTCACTGAGCATTCTTCAAATTTCTGCATTTTCTGTATCTGAGTATATCATTATTTAAAGCAAAAGCTTTTTAAAAATTACAATATTTGTTAAGGCACTGCATTTTGAATTACTCTCCATATTAAATAATGATTTAATTTGCAATTTTTTATGCTACTCATTTTTTTATTTTACATTTCAATCAGGATTTTTGCTGTGTATGCGATATATAAATGCACTTAATAACACATAAAATATACAGTAATAAAAGTTTCATATAATTATCAATTTGTGCTTAGAAAGGGAAGTAACTGTGTTTATTGTAGTATCGTACAACCATTACATGATTTGATTCTTTCACGATACTGAAATGGAAGGTTTTGATTTATATTTTTTAGCAGTTTGGTTCTTTCTATTTCATATTTTTAGAGATTTTATATAGTTAGGTGAAAGTCTTTTCAATTCTCTTTAATGATGTTATTCCCCCCTCAAAGGATAAAGAGAATTATTGTTATTTATGGTATACAAATATTACTTTAATGTATTTCAATAATTTGTTTTTCATCAGTAATTTTACCCTGTAATTTTTTTTTCCTTAATATAGCTGCTTTGCTTACTGGATATAAGTGCTTTGATGTAGATCAGTCAGTAGAAGATTCTAATGCTCATCTTTTAGAGGTGATGTTAAGAATAGTTTTTGCTGAATTTAAAATTATAATATCCTCATTTTACTGTTGTATACTTTTTATTTCTGTGTATCACTTTTATTCACTTCTTTACATATAATTTTCATATTATTTTAACATATCTATTCTGCAAATTTTGAATTTATAGAATGCATTTTTATTTACTTTTCCCCCAGTATAAAAGTCACTCATTGTGGCATTATTTATGATATTGTGTTCATAAAGCTGCAGTGTAATAACTTAATGAGCTCTCTCTCTTCATGTTATTACTTATTATATGTATTGAATCATTTATGTAAAAAATGCAACTGCAAGCTTCTGTTAACATAAAATTGCAATCAATAGAATATTCATCAGTAGGACATTCATGTAATGTCCTCCTGATGAGAACATTATTATTTTAAGGATGTTATATGAATACTGGAAACAAATTTTTAAATCTCTGAAAACTTGATGAGACTAAATATAAATAATAATATTATTTTAAAATGCCTTTTATAAATCATTGCAATGATATTAATGATAATAATTATATTCTATATCACTGAAATGCAACAGAAACATGTATGTTTTAGAATAGATAACCTGATCATTTTAAACTGCAGAAGTGTTAAGTCTGTTGCGCAGGTGTTCGTTTCAGTTTGTCTTCTTTCATATACGATGGACATTTGATATATTACCCTATACTGATTCTGCCATTTTATAATGAAAGTAATTGCTGTTAAGTTAGAAATTATTTGTCATTAATTTTATAAGTACAAATATTTGCTCATTGTATGATAGCATTATCTTCTTTGTGGTAAACCTTTATTACCAACTACAAAAAGTTGCCAGTCAAAAGAAAAGATTTTGAAAAATTGTTTTGAAGTTTTATGGTTGTACCTAAAGTTGCACAGTTTTACTTAGTGATTATTAAGATAGGCAGGCTGCACTAATAAACGGACACTTAAGTATAACACATATGTAATTTCAAAATGTTTAAGTATTATTACAATTTAAATAATACATAATAAATGATGAAATAGGAGACAGTTATTGTTCAGAATGTCTCAGAAGACAACAAACTTTAAAGATCTAGGGGTTAAAACTAAAAGGAAAATTTAAACCATGAAAAACAGTGTCAGACTGTCAGGCAACTGCCTTCAGGTTGTACTGTTGGTGGAACACACTTGCCAGAATACTACTGACAAGGTACTGTTCTGAATGGAACAAATTTGTCAGAACATCATGTCTCGTGCAATATGACTCATAGCTTACTAAATTGAAACATTTTTGTGTGAAAGGGATACTCTCATAGTGTCACCTAGCATACTCTCATAGTTTCATCTGAGGTACACATAATAAGCAGGTACATATAGCATGTATCTATGGAATCAATCTTTCTACATCATTACATATATGTATATCTATCTTCTATCTATTTATATCTCTCTCTATATATATGTAAGAAAAAGAATATGTAAAAGATTAAATTAGCAACCTAAATTAATTTCCCTTCTCATTCTAAAAATAGTAACCTCTCTCTGCATTGCGTCATTTCGAGAAAAGTCCATGTCGTTATGACTCTTACATAATTCTGATGATGTAAACGGAACTGAAACTCTTAACAGCCAATAATAATTTTACAGCAATATTAAACATCCAATCAGAATGCTTTGAGAACGAAAACTAACTAAGTCTGACTTGAGATTTCATCCTGAACATTACACACTTGCTTTCCACGCTTTGGCCTATCTAGACTGCAGTGTGTCTGCTTCTTCTTTTTGCTACAAAGTTATAAAAAATGTAAGCCTTTTAGAACAGGCCCATTTAATGTGCCGACTCGTGTGTAGCCGCAACATGTTGCCGAAAATAAAACAGTAGATCTCCAAATTCTGTTCGTCATTACTTCTAAGTTTGTTTCTGCTCCCGAATATATTACAACTGAGTCTCCTCCTCCTGCTCTTCATTAACTTCTGACTTTGTTTTTATTATATATATATATATATATATATAAACACACACATATACATATAATATGTTATTTTTAATTTACTTTTGCTTTTTAGATGATGAAGTCATCCGTTTGGCAATATAAAAATGATGCAAATTTCAAGGAAAATGCTAGAACCTGTTATAATAAATTAGAGAATGGTAAGAAAAATATTCTTCCTTCTATCAAATTTTATCAGCTTTATAGTGCATTTAATTTTTGATATTAAGATAATTTTTTTCAATAGGTGATCAGGATTTACTTTCTGAATGGAACTATTTAAAGAACTTGTACATGAACTATTATGATTCAGTATACAAAGTAAGAGAGCATTTTGATAATTTTGATTTAATACGTAGCAAATATCATTAACTAACATAAACTGTTCATGTTCTAGCAATTTTTTTATGTAAAAAATGTTTCTAAATTAAAAATATATTTCTACTTTGCATTAAGCTTACCTGAAAACTCAGACCAGGCTTCAATGACCAAATCACAGCTTTTTCAGCTGTTCTGAGAATATTGTGCCATGTTATGCTTTTTATGTAGAATTGCATTAGTAACTCTATGTTTATTTTGAAAAGTCATAGTGTCACCTTAAATTGAATGTTTAGAGTATAGTTGCAGGGAGGGGAAATGTAATAAGATCACTAGTATAATTTTAGCTATTTACTTTCATGTTGAATATTTTGCTTTGTAGTATAAAGATAGAAATCTAAAAAGACAGTCAAAAGTCTTTAATCCGGACTCGTCGGGACTTCAGCGATTCCGGATTATCGATTTTTTCCAGATTATAGATTATCAGTTTAAATCTGGTAAGATAGCATGCAGAAATTTTAAAATTAAAAATATGAAACCATAATTTATTAAATAAAGAGTAGTTATGACCTAAAGGGTATCAGATTACAAAAAAAGTTTAATATTTATTTGTTTACCTTATTAAACATTTCTTTCAATGTGCACATGCGTAAAGCATACATTACACATAGTCGAAATTAGAAAACTGCAACCAAAAAACTATTTGATGTGTACTCGTGATATTTATAATGACGACGAATTTTATGTAAATCATATCAAAGACAGAATACATCGAGATGAAATACTACATTCAGTAAGGAATTATAAGCTGAATAAAATAAAAGTATCTGCCCTGAAGATAGTGCTGACAGATCAACTTTATGCAAAAGCAAAGTTTTAAGTTGTAAAAACATTTAGCAGAATTACCAATAGAAGCTCCCTAAGGTTATATACTGTGCAGACATTGAAGACAAAAGTTTTAAACTTAACCAATTTATTAACAATATATATAAAAATAAAAACACAATGAATAAATTTAATCAATATCAGAAACTTAAAGAGTGTAACATAATCATTATTAAAAATTACACTTAGTTGATCATTCATTAGCCCCAAGGGTTTTTCCTTTAAAGAATATTACATTATTAATGATACAGTAAATATTTTACCTGATCTTTAAATACTGGCATTCAATATGCAAAAAACATATCACAGAACAGAAACTATGCGTTTAATATGAATTTCACTTCACTATAAATAAGTCCATGCTTTTTGGCCAAGAACGCACCTGAAAAATTAAACTAAACTTTGAGTGCACTTGCACTGGCTAAAGCCGCTCACTGTAGTTACACACAAGGGATCACTAGAGAAACATCGCCGCTAGTCCTAAAAAAAAAACACTTGTATTGATGCCACCTTCATAAAACAGGATGCCGCCCACTGCAGTTGCTCATCGGAAATCACAGGTTGGAATCTATTGCTGCCGAACCGTAGAAACAGGATGCCGCCCACGGCAGTCGCTCACACCATAACCACTTTTCAGAATCCAGAAAAAGCCATCTTTCGAACTGGAACCCCGGCACTTATCACTGGGCGACACGCATTGCAATATCGTCTTCCAATGGGGGCTGGAACGGCACACCACGGAGCAATGAAACAGGAACCAGAAGGAATAAACCAGAGCGACGCGAGATACTTATACCTGAAGTAGACATGACGTCATCTCACGGCAACCAATCAGCTATCGGCACGACTCGGCTTTCCAGATGACGTAACATCAAGTTTCGTTTTTGCATCTTAATTAGGCTGGAACAGTCCGTTCTCAATACAAACAGTGGCAGTGAAAAAGAAGTAGAAGTAATTGCTATATCCCTTTAAAATAAGAACTAAACCTTATGTAAAATAAATTATTTCAAGGAGGAGAGATGATGCAGAAAAAGGGTTACAATAAGGTCATATTTTCCAACAAATGCCCCCCACATCATCATCTCCGACCTGAAATAAAAACTGAACGCCAGTATTTTTTATAAAATTCAAAACAAGAATAAATAAATATAAATATCACAACTCCATTCAATTCAGAAATTTTAAAGAAAAATTTTCCTTTGGGGAACATCTTATCCCATTTTCAAAATTTTACCTATAACAAGAAAATCCAACATGTTACAAAACAATACAACAACATATGTATGATCATACATTTAATACATTTACCCAGGGCCCTGGTCAATCACACAACATTCATTCTATTGAATTTTTACATTATCACGATACTCATCATAATATGACTTTCAACATATTATTTTCTAAAGATACAGTCAAAAATTGAAACATCTAAACAAAACTCTTAATTTAAAGTTAAATACACACAAAAACAAATTTCACAAGAAAATTGCTCCACAAAATCTTATCAAGTTATGCTTAGTCAGCGGTTTTGTCATGGGATCAGCCAGATTATCTTTACTTGGAACATATTTTAGATAAAAAATTTCCCTGTTCAATAGATCACGAATGAAAATAGTTTTACATCTATATGTTTTGTCCTTGAGTTTTCAATGGGTGATTTTGTAAAACATATAGCAGCCATGTTATCCGCAAACAATATTGGTTTTGAAACATAGTTACTTGCAATCTTAAACTGAATGCATTCATCCAAAATGTTTTTAAACCAAACTAATTCTTTTGCTGATTCAGTCATGGAGATAAATTCAGCCTCCATAGTAGACAAACTCACTCCCCTTTCTTTAAATGTACGCCAAGATACAGGTGATTCTCCCAACAAAGCTATTTGTCCACCAATAGACACCATATCATCCCTGCTTGAAGCAAAATCCGAATCTGAATATATATTGAGCTTCAGTTCCTTGCATACCAGTTTAAGTTTGTGATTGTCTGGTATTGGAAACGTATTGCCTAAAATTATAAGTTATCCTTTCTTCTTCAGTTGAAATATTTCACACTTTAACAGGATTGACTTTGATAAACTGATTGTCATATTCAAATTAGCCTGAACTTCACTTTTTCCAAACACAACAATATCATCAACATAAACCAACAGAATGACAAAATCTTTAAAACGATAGACACAATTACACCACTCAAACTTGATAAACCCTAGGTTACATAGTGTTTCTATCCAACTCGTAGTACCATAATCGCCCACTCTGATGCAGACCATACAAGGCTCTATCTAAACGACACACAAAAGTTTTTCTTTATCTCGCTCTACAAAACCCTGAGGTTGGGACATGTAAATTTCCTCTGATAAAGGAGCGTAGAGATAGGCACTTTTTACGTCGCATTGTATATTTGCCCATCCAAGGTGTGCAACTAAGGAGAGAGAAAAAGAGCCTTATTACTGAAAAGTTGACTACAGGTGAGTAGGTTTCATCATAGGTTCATCATAGGTATCGTATTTAATTTGCCGATAACCCTGAGCCACTAAACGAGCTTTAAAACGAACAATGTTTCCAAATTCGTCACGTTTAATGTTGAAAATCCACCTGCAACCTAGTGGAGTCTTGTCTTTAGGAAGTGGAACAAGATGCCATACCTTATGCTTTCGCATGTTGGCCATTTCCTCTTCCATTGCCTCTATCCATTTAAGCTTTTCTGTGGATTTCATTGCCTGGTTATAAGTGTTTGGAATTGAAACCTCTAGTCAGCTATCTTGGGTATATGACGTTGAAGGAGTGCCAGTTGGGTCGATTTCACCACTATAAGTATTGCTTCCCTTGAAATCAAACAAGGTAGGATCATACTGAATATTATGTTCAGTGCAATACCTTTCTATCATTTTGGTGATCGTAGTCTTTGATTAGACCCCCTCTCAAATATATACACAATCCGTACGAGTGCCGTCTGGCCTTGGAACAGGTTTACGAAGCCAAGTTACTTGTCTCAATGTAGATTGAGTGTCAGTGTCAGTGCTAGGTAAGAGAGGGTACACTGGTATCGGTTCTTTCCTCTATTTCAGGAAAATAGCCAACTGGAGTATCAGTAGATTGGAACTCTCTACTCGACCCTCTCTTCAGATTCCAAATCAGGAAGGGGGTGCCCAGTGCAGCTCCACTGCCACTTTTCTGCATTCCAATTGACTCTTTAAAAGCATTTAGCTTTTTTGTTCATTTTCCAACCAAATCTTGTACCCTTTTGTTCGTACACTGTATCCAATCAATCGGCCCTTCGTTGCCTTTGGATCAAGCTTAGAATTTCTTTTAGCTTTTGGAATTCCCACATAGGCAATCGTTCCAAATGCCTTAAGGTGACGTACTGATGGTTTTCGCTTAGTGTATACAATTCGAATGGGGTTCTATCTTGGCCCTTTATGACAAATTCTATTAAATGAATATGCAAAATACATCACTCTGCATCTGACAAAATTCAGGACTCCTCATTCCACTATCATGTAAATTGCACGTACATTGAGAGCTGTCTGATTGAATCTCTCACAAACTCCATTTGTTCCGGAGTATATATCTGTAAATTTGTGCTTTACCATTTTTATTACCTGACCTGAATTGTTCATTGTCATATTTCTCCATTGTCAGTATTTAACTTAAGGTTCAAGAGATCTTTCAGCACGTGCTATATGCCTTTCAAATACTTCAAACACCTGACTTTTCTCTACAATGGGGTACACTACCACATAACGAGAATATTCGTCAATAAAGGAAACGAAATAACGTTCACTATTCCTACCTGGAATGTTAATAGGTCCCCATACATCAGAAAAAACCCTTTCAAGCGGTCTCTTCACTTGAATACCTTCTAAAGGTCTATAGGAGATTCGTCTTTGCTTATTGATTTGGCAATGTTCACAAAACAAATTAGGTGAGTTCTTTAACACAGGAAGACCTCGAACTGAATGTCTCTTACTAGTCCTGACAATAGCACCATAATTTATATGACCAAACCGACCATGCCATAATTCACTATTGTTATGCTGAACTGTGGATGCCTCAAATTTTCACAGATTTGCCCCCCTTTTTCACTATTTTCGGGAATACATGATAGATAGTTAC